TTTGGAAAAATCGACATTGTACTTATCATTGTTATTATCAATTAAAAGGTATTCGTCCAGAATTTCTATCGCCGAGAGGGTCCAAGGGACATTTTCTCGCCACCTGGGTCGTTCATCTGGACGTTTTAAGGGAGAGAAGGGAAGAAAGAAGGAAGAAACAACGTGAGAAGAAGGAGGCTCCCCGGCTAACAGATATCTTAAGACCGTTACTATCAATGAAACGACAAATTTACATCATACTGTAGCCATACCGTTTGTGCACGTTCAGCTTACAGACAGAACACTGTAAGCCTTGATTGATCAGGCCATAAAGCATTGAACCGCAATGATCGCAAAATGTCGGACGTTTATAGGAATGAACCGAGAAACGGTGTGGCATGTTGATGTTGAATCGTCCCATTCCAGTCTGAAATTAAGAAAAAATAAATCCAAAAGTAATAGTAAGATTAAGGGAGAGAAAAAGAAGAATATACGGGACAATAGAAAAGGTACGATTACCGTATTGCGCTCCTTGAAGACGTTTGTGCCGCAATAACTGGATGGGTGGAGACTCATGACAATTGCGCCTTGCTCACTGGCATATTTCTCTTCAGAACGAGGTGCATACCAATGTGGGAGACACAATGCTTGTGAATCTCCGCCACCCAGACGGTTATCGCGGAATGTGCCTTTGGGAAGCGAACCCTTTAGTGGACATATTTCGCAAAAAACTATCGCAGAATTAAAGGGCAAAAAAGAGCAAAATTAGGGTAATTAGGACACTGCGCTAGATTTTGCCAGAGCTATGTAGAAGCCAATAACGCAAAAGAATCAATTCCGATTCTTCTGCATCGCAATCCTTTCGTTATAGCGATTAAAGTGAATCATAAGGGCAACCCCCCCCCCCCTCCACAGATATCGGCTCGATACCCAACAAAAAAGGATAATATTCAACCAGCGCGAAAAGTCAAATGAGAGCCTGAAGCATGGAAGCTATCTGGCCTAGCGCACGTCTATAGGGCATTCCTTCACGCAAAAGAGACATTTCATCACGACTAAAGCCCCAAGAAAAAATCTAAATGACAGAATTCTATTCTCAATTATCGAGCGGCTCCTGGGAAAGAGCGGCAACCGTCTTCGGAAGGGCTGTCAACCAAGAGTTGAGCATGCTCGTCAAACTCAGGGTCCTGGACTGGGTTGAGCAAAAAATTTACAGAGGCCGTGACTGCTTCATTTCTGATGTTCAGTCGTTTTTTATCATTTTATTAATAACAGTTTTAAGCACGCTTCACGCAATTCATTATTTTGAATTTCAACTTGCCATCACTGGATAGAGGGTGCAAAGGCATTTCACGATTATTATGAGTAGGGTCGCAGTGGGCAGACTTGTACCCGCCTCGTGTAAGAACGTTCTTAAGGTAAGGGCATTGAGGCGCAAAGCTGTTCAGATGGTCCCTCCTGAGCACAGCTGACTCCGCCTCTACTTTTTGTCTGTTTGTCTCGCTAGCTTGTAATACATCTCTCGCTGCGTTGTTAGTTCATCGTCAATACCGTAACCACGCGTCCTCGTTTGGATTGTGCGGCGCCTATATTAAGGGTGTTTATGACAGGCTGCACCGTGATTATTTCTCTGAGATAAACTATTGGGCGATTTCGTTCTCGAACAACGTTGGCTAATACAAGTAACTCCGCAAAATTTACTTTCAATCTTCCAGTGCCACTTTTCGCGTGAGAAGATATGAGTGGTAGCGTCCAACTTAGAAAATAGGGTGGGACAGGAGACTCTCAAGTTGAGAAAAAGCAGATCATCTGAGATACATCAATGAGGTTCCAATTATTTTGATCGCTGTGAACGAAGGGGCACTCAGCGCGTGAACGAGTAATGGGCGAGCAGATGGAGTATACACCAATACAACAATGGACAATACAAATACACCGCCATGCACTGATTGTGAAATGACTTGAAAAGGGCGTGGCTTGGCCTCTGTGGGCGGGCCTGACCTTCATTGCAGTCATCTGGGGCCCTTATCACTTAATTTCCAGCGGAAATATGTTCACCCCTTGTCGTTGCCCTGTACAATGAAGAGATTCTGTTTAGAAGACCTAGGATCCTGTTGCCGTCAAAACAGAAGGAGGGTTGATGGTCAAGCTTTGTGAAGAGCGCGATTCTTACATCCACCAAACTTTGAAGAATAGTCAGCGTTGCTCTTAAATCTAATTGCCCGCAACTGCAGCTTCACTAGTAGCGCGATTTCACTTGAATGAGGCAAAAAAGCAGAAGTTCCGCGAACATTGAGAATACATTGGCTCAAGAAGTAAATTTTTCAAAAAGAAGTCAAAGCAGACGCTCTCGACCACTTCACGATTGATTTCCTGCACAGCGTCAGCTTTATTGCCTGGGCATTTCCATACGACTTCTTCATGACATCGCTTATGTACAACCACCGTACAGACTGAATATTAATTGTCCTATCAATAAACAAGAACAGAAAAAAAAAACCAAAAAAAAACCTAAATAGGTTTTCCTGCACTAAACAGATTAACAGAGACATGAATGCTGCTGAATTAGGCGAAGGGGGCTACGAGACCAGAAAGGGAATCCAAATAATACCGCAGAATAAAGGAGTGATAAATGGTAGCTGTCGTGGCGGGAGAAACTGCTTAGATAGTAGTGAGTGTTCATCTGGGCGCCTGCTCCTTGCTGAGTAAACTATATGCGTTGGAGGCAGCTATAATGATAAACAACCGGGTAGAGTCGCCTGAAGGGTTGGTTGGGAACATGACTTGTTGTATAGAGGAAAGAAAGCTCTGCTTTTGTCCCTTCTTCATTTGCGTGCCCCCTCTTTAGGAAAAGGTGAACAGGAGAAGCACTTCAATGAGCTCTGTAGTGGCTGGCCGCAGCACCGCCCATACGATAAGCAAGGAATGTTCCGTTCGCGAGCCTGCGTAAGCCAACCCAATATTGCTTGGCAACCGAATAAGGGCTCACGAAGCTGAGGAAAAGGCACCATCAACCCAGATCTCAACCCACCAGCCAGCTCCTGCTAGGGCTCCACCATTTAGAAGAGGAAGTTCAAAAAGGGTAACAACTAGGCAAGAAGAATATGGACCTATATGAGGGCTCTTGGAGATCTAAAAATGGCTGAGCGACTCAAAAACCTAAAGAATAGCGTTGGATAATTTCACAATATCGGTCGACTACATTAGAACATTTTGCTAGGCTTTATCAGCTGCAGACCCGGGACGTTAAAAGGGGGATGGGTTTGGAACTCAGACAGCCTGATTTTTTTGGCTTTTTCTTCTGGCAAGGAACACACTATAATATCGTTCGTATCAGTCGTTTTCACGAATTGTTGTCGCGTACCCCTACGCGAACAATTGGGGAACATGGAAGTGCGGCGCTAAACCCAGCCCGCCCCTGCAACGGCCGTCAGCATTCGCAGCGACAAGACATACCACCGATGGGTGCACGTAGTACCCGGAGGTTTAGGCGATTCTGACCGGAGCTTAAAATTAGAGTGGAACTTAAATTGGAGTATTCTCTGGAAATAATCAATGCGATCAATAAATACTCACTTTGACATTGATATCCTTGTTTGCCGATGCCCCAGATGAACTCTTTACAATGTGCGCAAAAAGTCGGCTGTCGTAAGAACAACGCCATGAACTTATGACCGGTAACCTAAGTTCGATCAATTATCGATTTTTCGATAAGGAAATGGTTTCGTGAATACCCACTTCATGGATTTTTCGACGCATTGCACCACGACGCTGTCGATCGTTGAATGCACCTTGGTTGCCTTGAAGACGCGCGATGCCTTGCATGGTGTGATTCTGAAAGGGTAGATGGTAAAGGTACAGAGTAAATCTTTGCGTATTGGCATCAAGTAATCAGAAAATTGCAAGATTTACAGAAACAAAGTGAGTGATAAGCTTAACATGGACAAATTGGGGAAAAAAGGAAACTGGAACGTCCTATATGCGGCGATAGTCGATCTATGGTCGGTGTGAGATGGAAGGATTGTGTAACATTTGTAGCATCACGTCGCGCGCAAAGGCAGCCCCTGCGCGGACTCTTTGGGCGAAGAGCGGCTGCGATTTTGCAACGACGAAAAGCCGCGTAAATTTTCTGGCGGGCTGTATGACCTGGAGCGTGTAAAAGTGGAAACGAATGTTTGCTTAACTAAGATAAGACACAGACGTGTTGGACTAATACCGCGGCTAAGTTCCTGAACCCTTTTTTCATCACATTTTATGATTGAGCGCACTCCCACTCTCGTTTGGAGAGGGGGCAAGAGGAGAGCGGTTGCGCGAGACACCGTCACCGCACATCCCTTCCTTAACTATGGCTTAAAAGCTCATTGGAGGTATTCTGCTCTCTTAGCCTAAGCCTTCGTGGTATGGGATACAGGTTGAGTGGCCGTATTTAGACATATGAGATTTGTAGCATTAGTCCTGCTGAACTGGAGAAAATTAGCTAACTTGATCGACTTAGGATGGACCATCTGACCGCAATCTTATACTTTTCGCGAGTAGAACGTCAAACTTTTTTTGAAAGCTGATCTAAGGACTCACGGTACAGGGCATCAGAGGGAGAATATGGCGGTATCAGTATTAACCCCTCATGGATGAAATCCTTCCAAGAATGTTTTAAGCTGCGGGGATCTTCATGGAGAAGTAATCACAGAAACCGGGAGAGAGGTAGAAGAAGAAAAACTTGGGGTATGTTCGGAATTTCAAGCGCGTGAATAGTTTGTTTGAAATTCCAGCTGTATCCGATGCTTCTCTGGCAACGCAGACGTGGAGAAAATTAATATTAGGTTGGTCGAAAAGTCCTGCGACACTTTGACCAATTTTTCGGACTAAATTTTCAGTCACTAAAAGACATCTCCAATCCACAAGGTAATCACCACTAAGGACTAGGACTAGTGCCCTTCTTTTGCACAGCTTCTCATTTCCATTCTTATAGAACTACGGCAACTATGATAAGAAGAAGAGGTGGACCTCATTTTTGAGTAGACGTCGATTTTCGGAATTTTTGCCTTCTTAAGGATGCGGTAGGGATCAAAAAAGGTAGTAGTTAGAGACTGCTAACTTTGATGAATAAGCTGGGTATGGTCGCATTCTCAGATCAAGATCCACGATCTTTTGGTGTGGCCTGATCTTAACATGCGGTCTTCGCAATGCCGAGCGCTAGAGAAAAATTGAGTATTTTTGAAGAATTCAAGCTTGACGTCATCCATGTTGTGAGGTCGGTTAGAGAGGACTGTAGTCCTTACCGTTATGCTAGTATCCAGAGATACCGCTTTGAAGTCCCAATAACCTACTGAAATCTTTATCCCATGCACATCTGCTTTTGGCTGTGCAATCTACTTTTCTCTCTGAGAGATCCTGCGAGGAACATGTGCAAGATGTACGCAAGGACCCCACCACTCTCTACCAACCACAAGATCTCACAAATGTTCCTCCAGTGTGTACAAGGAAAAAAAACTCAGTCACGGTCATTCGGTATGACTTGTCAGAGGGGTTCAACTCATGAGGCATCCTTCATAAAAATTTTTTCCGATAACCGAGACTGCGGAGAAGCATGGCAGTTGTCAGTTAGGTGGAGCCTAGAGAGGTTGCCTACTTACTGGTGGTTACGTTCGGCTGCGCCTCAAGAACCTTGAGTAAAGGGCCGTCATTCTGTGCTGGTGGCCTACCTATACATTGCCTACTTCCGAGTTGAATAAGTCCAGCCTGGAAGCGCTGATGCAAAAGGAACTCTCTGCTATGGCAAGCGATATCCTTCCTTAAGACAACGTAAAAGAGTTAGCTTCCTCGACTATGGGAGTTGCCCTACAGGAACTCATAATATGGGACAGGTCGAGGAGTACCTCGATCTTTGAGGTATTTTTAAGCTTTGAAAAACTTCACGGAGCCATGATATACCCATTTTCAGAAACCTCAGGAGACATTCTCCACCCCCCCCCCCCCCGCCCCCCCCCCCTCCAACTATCAGAGATAAAAGACTATTCAAAAATGATTTTGTCTTTTTCTAGAATAGTTCAAACAATAGTGTCAGTGCAGGACTTTTCGACCACCTAAATAGTGTACTCAGTTAGCTATGGAGTTGATGACGGACCGACGGCTGGCACCATCAAAGGTAAAAGTCAGATCTTGGATTGGAAGAAGCAAATGAAAGATTCCTGCCACTTTTCCTGGTAAGCAGCGAGATGGTTCTTATCTTTAGAGGGGGGGGGGGCGGTGCTTCATAATTAATGGAAGACGCTCATGAAAGGCTCCTAGCGCATGGTAAGTTCTGTAAGTGGCCCACTAGCGACAGATTGGCATAAGATTCCCTAAGAAAACGCGATCACAGCTGAAAGCTCATCCTAGCTTGACTTTTGAAGCCAAGCATCGGCTATCTTTCACGGAAATGTGGTTCCCAAAGGGAAAAGAGGCCTGAAAGGATAGCCGGATAGAAAACTCCCACCCTCTGTGCTCCGAAGCCTCTTAATGGGTCAATGGTCCTCATGGCCGTTCTCGATCGATGAGAGCTAACTGAGCGCGTTGTTTCCAGAAAAAAAAAAAAAAATAATCGCGGCCCATCTAGCCCGAAGACTAATCATTTCAATGTCACATCCACACCGTGCGCTCTACTCACGCAGTCAGCACTTTTCACGCTATCGCACCAGCCCTTTTGAAGTTCTTCTTACGCTGTTTATCGACCGGGGGGGGGGGCATTTTTGTATTATAATTGCTTCCCTGGTTTCGGTTTACAAATCTCACTCTGCGAAACTTGTGAAGCTGGAGCAAGATCGTCTAGCCACCATCCTAAAACGTGTCCACGTCACCGCGTTGTCAAAAAAGGTTGGCAAAACTCTTATGACAAGGCAGAATGTCCCCCCTCCCGTCATAAATAGCGCCGTTGTACTTCTTGATTCCTGCGCTAAGCCTATGAGTCAGGCTTTGAAGATTCAGTACTAGCCAGATGCCGAATCTTTTGTAGAAGTTAAACTATGGAGCGCAGGGTCTAACAGCGCTGCTGCACTTGAAACGTCCCTGGTTTTCCGGTTTGCAAAAAAAGGTTCGGTTTTCTCTTCCAAGCCAACAGGGTATTCTGCCCCTCTGGAGCGCAACAGCGTGTACTTCCCTTTTGGAGCCAGTTAGTTAGAACCAGCCAGCGTGCAGGACACGTAGTGACCTAAGCATCTTAGAGATCCCCTTGATTCGCTCAGCAAGTATTCCATTTTCTCCACAACTTCACTGAAGTCTAATGCATGGCGCATCCCTGTATGCTCACTACCTTTCATATTTTTCTATTTCTCAACCTTACCGCACGCACCATAAACGAAACTGGCAAGCAATACTGAATAGCGCTTGACGTCCACCTCTTCCTTACCAAAGATCCTTACCGCCTTGCTTTTGGCTTACATTTTTGAATGGCCAAAAAATTATTTTGCCCGGAAGTAGACTTGAGAAGACAATGGACGATGAAGACGCTGTTTTCAATCTCCCAGAAGAATCAGCAGCAATTAATTAGTCAAGGAAACAGAGTAGAATGGGGTTCAGAAATGCTTTGTGCAAAAATTGGGATTAGCGCGAATGAGACTACCATAGTTGAGCAGATCATTCTCTCTCGGGGTTAAAAAACCCTCAACTCCTTTAACGCAATTCTTCTGCTTTCAGCAAAAATTTCGGCGCTTGAATTGGGAGGGCGCTCTGCTTAGGGGGTCAGGACCTCATAATGATTGGAACGCTCAATAGAAATAATAGAATATACGTAGTCCCCCGCTAAGGCCCACTAGCAACAGACTGGCTCCGGTTCCCTTAAAAAAGCGATCATACAGCGAACTGCAAATCTTACTTGGCTTTGAGACCAACATCGTCTACTTTCAATAAAATGTGGTTTCTTAAAGGGGAAAAGGGTTTTCAAGGGATAGCACGGGATGGAACACTCCCACACTCGTGCTCTGAAGCCTCTAATGGTCAATGGTCTCAATGGCCTCGATCGATGAGAGCTAACTGAGCCGTGTTCCATAATCCGGCCATTACCCGAAGACTAATCATTCTCATCACACCACGCTGCCGCTTCACCTCACCACACAGCACACTTTTTCCGGACTATCCACACCCTTTTGAAGTATTCTTGATTCTGCGATACCTATAACAGTTGAAAGAAATTCAGTACTACCAGATGTTCGAATGTTTTGGTAAGAAGTGAAAGTAGACCTAGGGGGACCTAACGGGCGCTCTGCTGTACTTTGAAACTCCGTTCTCTTCCAAGCCAACAGGGTATTCTGCCCCTCTGGAGCAACAGCGTGTACTTCCCTTTTGGAGCCAGTTAGTTAGATACCAGCCCAGCGTGCAGGACACGTAGTGACCTAAGCATCTTAGAGATCCCCTTGATTCGCTCAGCAAGTATTCCATTTTCTCCACAACTTCACTGAAGTCTAATGCATGGCGCATCCCTGTATGCTCACTACCTTTTATATTTTTTTCTGTTTCTAAGCCTTACCGGCCACCGTCCAACCATAAACGAAAACTGGCAAGCAATACTGAATAGCGCTAGACGCCCACCTATTCCTTACCTAAGATGCGCCATGCTTTTGGCTTACACTTTAAATGGTGAAAAGATTATTTATCCCGGAGTAGACTTCGAAGAAGCAATGGACGCTGAAAGACGACTGTTTCAAAACTCTGCCAGAAGAATCAACCACCATTAATTAGTCCAGGAAGCGAGTAAGGATGGGCTATTCAGAAATTGCTTTGGGGCGCAAAATTGGGGATTACCATCACGCGATGAGATACATAGTTGAGGCGTCATTCTCTCATCGGGGTTTAAAACCCTCACAACGCAATTCTTCTGGCCTTCAGCAAAAATTTCGGCGCTTGAATTGGGAGGGGCTCTGGGAGAAACTCCATCTGGTTTCTTTTGCGAGGTTCCTGCTGGATTACACGTCTCTTTGGCAAGGACTGTTTACTCTTAACGGAGCTCAGGCTATTGCACATCTCGAAAGGATTTTACAAGCCTCCACAGGAGGCACGGGCAGTGATAGATGGGAACCAGCAGCTGCCCCCACCAAGCCGAAAAGTCCGATGTATGTACTCCTTGGCAACTTGGGCATTTCTCTCTTACTATTTCTTTTAGTACCTTTCTAGTGTTTTTTTTCGAATAGGGACCTAATTTGACCAAAATCAAGCAACCAATTGTGACTCAGCGCTGTTGACGCAAATTCAGTTTACGACAAATGGAAACATGCTTATCTCCAGCTACCCTAAATCGATTGATTTCGTGCTTTTTCTTCACTTTGCACTACCGAAACTTCCTGATAGCCCGTCTAAGTATGCTTCCAGAAATTCCTGAGGTAATGAGAAGGATGCGTGGAAGACGGAAAGTGGCAGCTCTTTCACTACTTGTAATATCTGCTTGTCTATTGGCAATCACTACTTTTCAAAACGTTGGCGACCGTCCACGACTATTACAGAGTCGTAGGGAGCAAAAGGTAAGAAGTAGAAGTATTCGGGTATTTCCTTCTCATCTCTCTCGCTTCTGATCAGAAGGGCCTCGGAAGGGCAAACTCGGGCTCACGTTGCTTTCGAAAGTTCTGCCCTCAATTTTCTCCTGCATCATTACTTTTCTACTACGTTATCAAGGGGCTACATTTGGTCCACCCAATACAACTTTCTCTATCTCAAATGCTACTTGATGTTCTGAGTATCTCTGCTGAAGCACTCTAGGGGATTCCTAAAGCTTATATCACCACAATCAGTCGGGGCGGTTTCAAGAGAGATGAATGTTCCTATCCGCGACGCTTTCATCATTTGTTGTTTTTTTCCCAAATCGAACCTAATCTACCACTACTGGTACGGAAAAACAGCTGCAGGCGGGCTCACTCCGCCCCTCCTGACACCACCTCAACTCATTGTGACGATATCAACTACACATCCATGAGTATTGCTCCAACGTATGCAATTTAGGGCTTTATTATGGATTTAGGGATGTCATCTTCCACGACCGGATCCCTTCGATCCCAGTATAATGGAATTTGTCAGGCAAACCGGAGGCCGCTTAGATGTACTAACGCGAAACGCAACAAGGAGTTGACCTACTTATCGGATGATGTAAGTGTCGGACATCAACAGCATTACTATTTATTCGTTTGTTTATTTATTTGTTTATTTCATTTATTATTTATTTACTCATTCATATTTATTTACCTACCTATTTTTTTTGAAAGAGCATTTGGAGGCAGCTGGCGCGATAGCTTGGGCGGGAAGCTGCCACCACCGTCATTGGTGGAGGGCTGGATGAGGACGTTTCGCTACAACCCTCTCAGCCCTTCCACGAATTGCATCGGCAGCAACCGTCCGCCCCTGGCCATGGCGCCCACTGCCACCAGTAAGGGGGAGTAGCTACGGAGTGCGCTGAAATGTGCCTGCGTTTCGACATATTCGAGGGGTAAACAGAGATAGTTTTCTGATAAGAGAAAAGTCTTCGCCGTTGATCAATCCCTTTGTGGGATGCGGCACGCATTCTACTTCCATTCAGAATCGTAGTGGCTTATTGAATGCGATGTGGCCTATACAATGACTTGCGGTGGCCAGCCGATGTACAAGTCAGTGTTTTATCCTCCAGACGAATCTGGTACCAATTTACCGTCCCCGGGGGGCGGGGGGGGGGGCGGTAGAAGGCTTGGTTGGCCTGGGAGGGAGTCCACCCGGGATTTGAACCCGGGACCGCGCGAGTGGTGAGCGCGCCACTTTTCACTACACCGCCCTCGGTACTGATAATCATGAGGATCAATAGTGATTACAAAAAATATCGTGAAGCATACGTTTTCGGTACTACTCCACTCCGATAACTTTCTATTGAGCTTTAGCATTTTTCCGCTTTCTTTATTTCCCTAGCTATTATGTTTCATAACATTTTTTTCATATTTTTCGATGAATTACTCCACAAATATGAAAAGGGGCCGTTGCAGGAATGGCTCCACGTAAATCGAACGGCCATTGCTGCTACGGGTCTATCACTGGCTTGCTTCTATAGATGTTACGATCGACTCGATGGTGATGACATCCAACTGCAGTACACCGAATGGATACAGTTAAATGTACCGTTTCTTTAACTACAACGAGGAAGGGGGGGGGGCTAACAAGGAAGAAATTGGGTACAGATCCGGTTAGGAGGGCGAAGAGTGCAGGCGCTCAGCGTAAGAGTCGAGACAGCCCGCAGCTACTCTCCTCCAGCCTCGAAACTAAGGCATGGGGGCTGGGCTGTCTCCGCCCATTCGACCAGTGTGGACAGTGGAGCCTCCAGATAGCGGACACAGACATTCCGGAACATTAAAAAACTATTCTCACATTAAAGCCAAATATTTCAGAACCAAACACGCCCTGGCTGTGAATTCATAGAGACGTACTGTAAAAAGACAACCTTTCCTGGGACCACCGTCTACTACAACAACCATAACCAAGTGCTCCGACGGAACCTCTCATCGACAGTCGCCGACACCGGCGGCAGGAAAAGCGTCATCGTAATCGTATTCGATTCGATGTCTCATTCGAATTTCATTCGGAATATGCCAAAGAGTTTGAAGGTGAGAATTCAATCTGAACTGAATTTTCGGATTTTCTAGCATTCCAGATGACAGAGAGATTCAATCAAAGGTCTTGGAGATTGTTAAGGATTTTTCAGCTAAAAATTCTTTCAGGTTCTGAAGTCGTTGTACAAATCGCACATATTCGACGGAATGAGCAAAGTTGGCGATCAGTCCTTTCCAAACGCTGTCGCGTTTTTGGCAGGTAAGCGCAGTTGGTTCTAATGTACAGTAGCCCTGGCCACTCTGTCGACCCATACCTCTCTAGAAGCTAAATATGGTAAGATTTAGGCTGAGCTGGCCTAAATCGCTTCATGGGCTTCTTTTCCCCGTTACTGCATATTTCACTCCCTACGGAAAGAATTAATTGGAGCGCTGCGCCTTCTGCAATTGTGTGTATTTCTCTTTGCTACACAGAAAGGGAGAGGAGGGAGG